CCCTAAATGTATCGTGCTAATCTAAGTCCTTAATCTATGTGTATCCCCTTATTCTAACTCGTTGTTGTAATGTCTTATTCCATGGTCTTATTCTAACTCTTTAATGTATATCTGTCCGCTTATTGTAACCCTTAATCTAACTTCTTAACGTTGATCTGAATTTCATATTGGTGAACATGTGTCCATAGTATAACGAGGGAAGAAAAACCTAAGTTCGGCACGAAATCGCTTGACTACGATGCCTTTAGAGGGCATATAGTGACCATCCAATTTAGCGCGACTCTTCGATTTTCACAGTAAAATGTGTCATAATACATCCAAATTTTAGGCTATTTGAAATATAAAAACGAATTAGAACTCTTTTGGGAACAAGGCCTTCTTTTACACTTCTCAGATTTCTTATGTTTTTACAAAGCAACTTCACACAAATTAAGTAAGGTTTATGTCATGCATATCGAGCACCGCTTTACCTGAAAATCACACGATAGAACATGAGAATAAAAAAGATCATATTGGAATGCTAATCGGGTTTTGCATACTACTTAATGGGTTTTCGAAACTTTTTCTCGAAAACTCAAAGATTTTCGCAACATTCGGAAACCCTAAGGGGTTTTCCAGTTATGTTCGGAAACCTTGCTAGATTTCTGGAAAACGCTTCGACCGTTTCCGATGCCCGAAAACCCAAAAGGGTTTTCGATAAAAAAATATCGAAAACCCAAAGGTATGCGAGGATACGTAATGGGTATCCGAAAAGGTTTTCGAAGCAAAAGCGGTTTCCGAGAATACGGTTGAGGGTTTCCGAATCCGCTCTCTCCAAAATCCATTGGTTTCCGGATGCTCGGAAACCCTCAAGGTATTGTCAGAAACTCAACATAAGTTCGGAAACCTTTTCGCAAACCTTTTTAGGTTTCCGGAAGGGTTTCCGAAGGGGTATCGGTTTCCGAGGAAACCTTTTTTTTTTAGAGTGTACTTAAGCATTCTCTTGTTTCATAAAATGATATTCAACAATTTTGAAAAATTGATCACCCTAGTCTCAATTTTATATCATTAGCATTATTAAGACACTGTGTCACACGATATTATATCATTTGAAGCCTCCATACAAGTACGCACATCTTATATAAAGACATTGAATATATTTTAGGATTTTCGAGAGGGTGACACCTTCTAAATTTGGCAGCATAGCTAGAATTTCAAACTATGAGCTCACTCTCGAGTGTTTTTAAAAAGTGAGTAAAGCCAGTACTGGATAGTTTTCATTCTTTGAACAAAAAGAGGGAACTAAGGCTCTAACCCATTTGAAGTGTGTGCAGAACCAGATGAGACAGATATTTCTATATTTTAAAGTTTCATATGCGACAAGCTACAGGTGCACATTTTTATAATCATTAAAATGGCATTTTTCATGCTCGATCCCAGATGATTCAATCCGACCTGTAGATCCTACGGGAAACTATCGGATCCGATGTCGGATCACACCGGAATTCGTCGGGTT